GGAATAGCGAAAATAAACTTAATGTAACTGTAATTGTTGTGATGGTGATTTTGTAAACACACGTGAACGCGATCTGTTATAATTTTTTTAAAAATTTACCGTTGTAGCTGTGTTTTTTGTAAACAAGCGTCCACAATATAAGGGAGCTGACCAGAGACGGTAAAAATGTAATATGGCATTAAATGATTATATATATATATATATATATATATATATATATAGAGAGAGAGAGATTCTGGGAAATGTATAGTGATTTTCCTTTAAATAATATTTATACATGAAATAAATTGATGTTGCTAAAAATTGTCTTGATGTCGTCAAAATTTCAGTGAATCAGGATTAATGAAAGAATTTGCAGATTAATCACTTTGAATGGTCTAATAATCGATGCAAAAAGTTAAGCAACAGACAGAAGTCTCAAAGCGTAAGAGAAAATTGGCAAATTCTTATACAAATTTAGAACTTGTATGCAGAAAAACAGCAATTATTTTTGTTAATCTTTGCATATTCAGTAAATCTCGGAAATAAAACATTCAAAAATCGTAACCGGGTGAATTAATTGGATGATCAGTCGATGACCAAATCGATGATCATTTTACATACAAACATGTTAATACAAACATGTTAATCTGAATTTCGCTAAAAATGCATCAAATTACTTTTAAAAAAGCTGCAAGTCATTACTTGTCTATTTTCTTTGTCTATCGAATTGTCGGATTTGTTCGATCTTTCAAGCCTCAGAATCGAAAAAAAATCTTTTATTGTACTAAGTGACTGTTTAATTGAAATCTCATTTTCAATATTCGAAAATTCTGCTTGGGCATTTTGAATTTAATCTCGCGTGAAGTGAAAAAAAAAATATTAATCTTAAAAAAAAAATTATATTGTGTCAAAGGCTACTTTTTTTATGTTGGATGCTTAAAGAATTTAACCAACTTGAAAAGTTTTTCTTTGTGTACATCTACACACACGCAATGTGAAGTCTTTTCTACGCATCTCTAGTAAAACCTTTACAATAAAGAAATACCAAATGGTGTTGGTCTATGGATAAATATGTTCAATCAGGAATAATTTTATGCAAGAATTTAAACACATGCAAGTGCTTAAATTCTACGTACTGCAAATCGACCAGATGAAAATGCTTCCTATTTCCACAAAAGAAATAACTCTATAATTTTGTCCCCAGAAAGTTTCGTAAAAGTAATAATATAACCCGAATATTTTTTTAAAAATCAACAATAACGAAAAATAGTTGCTGCTAATTTTAAACGGCAATTTGAGATTCTTGACGAGACACTGAACTTTAATTACAGGACTTGAGCCGAAGACGGCTTGCAAGATCAAAAATAATTGCTATAATGGAAATGAAACAGTTGGCGAAAAGAAAAAGCAAGACGACCAATCAAAAATCAGACTTTCTAATTTAAACTTTCTCCTTACTACAATCGATCACAATAAAAAAAAAAATCAATCAATAAAAGCGATTGTCAGTTTTGTGATCAAATTTCAATCGCTCCAAAATAGACGTGCGGATCACTAATGAAATGGCATATTTGAACGTGCCTCATCGCAAATCAACGCAAAACATTAGAATTGACTTTTTGCTGAATTTAGTTTCATCACAAATTTATGCGTATCTAACCAAGATCACTGAGAACTGAAAAATCTTATTTGGAAATCTGCAAAAAAGCAGATTTTGCTTAAAAAAAATCAGAAAAAAAATTTTTTTCAAGAGTAAAATATATATTTTTTTAAATCACATGAAATTTCATTTTTTCACACAAATGAAGTACTTTCCTAAAAATTTAATTTCATTTTTTGAATCAAGAATCAATGTTTTTATTAAAAAACAAAAATTGACCTACAAATCCAAATGTAATTTAATAAAAATCTCAAAAGTACGTAAGACTAAAGTCAAATATTCTAAAATTAAAAATGCAAATACTTTCAGGTATTTACTTAGCTTAGCCAGGCACAAGGCCAAGTGGTGCTAATAGAGATATTACGCCAATCAACGACTTGCGGCCTGTCATGCTTGAAAACTGGCTTTTGACATTCTAGCTTTTAAATCGGCTCGAAAATCTGAACTCTGAGAAATATACAACTTCTTTAGCCATTAGACAGAGGGAATACTAAATTGATTTTAGATTCATACGATCAGAGTACTAGCTAGAATCTTCTGAAATAAATTCAACAATTTGAATAAACGAAATTTTAATGCATTGATAAAATTGGAATATTTTTTATGAAATTATTTAATCGAAATTATATCTCACCATTCAATGGTACAAACAATTATTCCTTACCATTCAATGGTACAAACAATTCTACTCATATTCTCCAATTAAATATCTCTTTACAAATCATTTTTTTATAATTATTTTTTTATTTGTCAAAATCACAAATTTCATATTTTTTGTGAAAAAATGCTTCTTGGTTGAACCGAGAACTTTTCAGCCCATTTGCATATCTATCATTTTCTATTGTCTGTATAAATATCCAATCATGCGTAAATCCTTTCAAGCATAATTCAGATTTTTGTTTTGTGTTCTTTCAGTAAAAGAAAAGTACTCCCAGCAATTCCAACAAAATCGGGTGGATCAGGTTTCACAACCATGAAGCGAAGTTGAAATGCGTATTTGGAATGTTGCCATGGTGACGCATACCGACAGAGTTCCCTCACAAACTACGCAGGCCCAGAGGGGAGGTGGGTAGACAGAAATAGATGAGTAAGGTAAATAGATAAGAACCAAAACAGGCTCTGCCAAAATAGTAAGTACCTGCGTCGATAAGATGAAAGGGAGGGGGGGCTGTTGTAGCTGAAAAGTGAAGAATTCTCAAGACACTGTAATAGTAGGAAGCGTTATTTGCTTACTGCTTACTGATGTCTGAACAGTTTTTATTTTCTTTGAAGTGACGTAAACATTGGACATTAATCAGTTTTAAGGGGTCTTTCTTGATGTTAAATGCAAGCATTTTCAAAACTAAGTTTGACAAATACGCTTGCTTTGTTAAATGTCTCCTATAAGGCGCCTTTTACCAGGCCTGAACTCAATAAATAACCATATTTTACGCAATGTACAATTATATTTAAGGGAGAAACTAAATGTTTTTGATGATTAAAATCAAATAGAACAAGTCTTTTATTAGAAGAGCGGTCATAACAGCAAATGTCATGAATATAGAGAACCTTTGTAAATTTGCTACGGTTTAGTATTTTCCCTATAGAGATGGAAAACTTCTAACGGGCGTCTAATCACCTGTGGAAAACCGAAGTATATATCGGCCCAAATTTGTGGTTATGGCTTGAATAATAAATGTGTACAAATATAGATTTATATACATGAAGTTTCTCTGAATACATTCATGCACATAAGTAAACACATTAGAATTGATGAATGATATATTTTTATATAAATTTATTATAAGTAATCTTAACGAGAATCATTATGAAGACAATATCGAAATTATGTGAATCGATAGTTGATTTCTGTTAGTGTCGAAAATAATTAACATTGTCATTATCAGAGATATTTGATAAATTTATTCTAGTCTGGTACAAGGACGCAAAAGAGAGACATTAACGAAGATCGAACTCACTACACGTGCGAGACCAGCTTTATGGCAGAGGCTATCAATATTATAGAATACAAAAATGAAATTTCTTTGTATTTATCTTTTTACATTCAGAAAACTTTTTTTTTTTATTTCTTCAGGAAAATGATAATTTGCCAAATAAGAATCATTGTTTAGAAATAAAAATGAATGTAACATCCTGCAAGACTGGTCTTAAACTGTAATTCCAAAGTAATAGATTTGTGTAAATATTCCGTTCACAGAGTTTGGTAAAATCTTTCTCTCTTTCCAGTATTTAAGAGCAATGGTTTCAAACGATGCAGAGAAAGATGCCAGATAAATAAAGAGAGTTGGTAAAATCGTCATAGGAAAATGTAAAAGAAGAAATATATTTAGGATGGAATTAATTTTTCTATTTTTATTTTCAAAGATAAAGTGAAATCTCATCAAGCCCATCGATTTGTAATAATTCTTTCCCAATTTGTAACTTAACCAAACGTATCGCTTCTCCTGACAACAATGAGTTCTGACATATGAAGAAACAAGAACCAAGTGTGTACCTGAAGAAGAGACACAGGTAGTCAAACTATCTTCTCATCTCAAAGCCTAATATCGCATCTTGCGAAGTTATTGTTAAATTCTTTTTCTCTATGCATGTAGAGTACTGAATTCAATTTGCAATCTCATTCAAATCTCTTCAGTGATTAAACTAACTTCAAGCAGACAAAAAAATTTCACATATATATAAAGACTTAAAAAAAGTTCATTCATTTTTTTTTTCAATTGGATTACTAATGTGAAAAACATTTTGGTAAAAAGATGAAGGTTCTTTACAAAGAATTCAAGAATCCATAAAGGGATATGTACCCCTCAGTTACTGCGGATTGTCTTGCATTTACAGATTCGGTTCACGTAAAGGTAAATACCTTTTTTCGGGGATCGTTTTTCGAGTAGAAATTTGGATTTGATAGATTTTTAAATACATCCTTTGTTTTGCTGGAGTTGCCTAAACTTCAAACTCTGAAAAACTATCGATTGATCTGATAGGCAAAATTTTATACAAATTCTGTTTGTGATTTTTTTCTCTTAAGCATAAACTTTCATCTACCCGTAATGTAGTTTTTGATGAGGTCAATTGCAAAATATATTCCCAGTTTCTTTTTGTAAACAACAAAAAATAATCAATTCTTTTTAGATCACCAAATGAAATTAACCCCCGAAACTGATTTAAAAAATTAATTGATATAATTATATAAAGTACATCTCATAATGGGTAAAAGGAATCGATTATTTAAAAACTTCTTTATAATGATGTCTTCTTTTAAACATTTTGTTTGGTGTATACAATTTAAAGACTTTCTATATATTTTTTTTCTTTAATCGATCATCCGAATTAGAAGTGATTGGGAAAAAAAGAAACTTACCTTCGATCTCGTCTTTTGTGAGTTGAGACTGAAATAATCAGAAAATAAAGAATCAGACAAAAACTTAAAACAATTTTCAAATCGAATTAAAGTCAGAAAAGCCGTTTCCAATTGGATTAAATCGAGCAAGCATCTTTGAAATGGAAGACAAAAAAAAAATATATATATAGTTGTCAAATTTTGTCTTAAATCCAAAGAAATAAAATAAAAACCTTACCATTTCGACTGCGATATAAGATGCTGCCGGTCTAAGTAAGACTGTACCTCGCCAAGTGGGAATCCAAAATATGCCGTGGGCTTCTCCTACACGGGTTGTCTTATTTTAATAAGAAGGGTCGACTATTCCACGAGGGGTGTGTCGGTTCTCCTCATTATATTCAGTAGTCAACAGTTGCACAGAAAGAAGCTTCTCGTCTTCGATCTGGAAGTGGGGGCCTCTGTCTTTGAGAGAGGGTAACTTTTGGAGATGCAAACTTGGTAAGAACTCCCCTACCCATGATGTGGATAAGTCCAGCGGACGTGACGTTTGCACCTGTGCCGGGACTAATTCTGTGCAGGTTGGAAACTGATAGTGCTTACCTATAATTAGAATGCAGAATGTTAGTTGAGGATGCCTTCCAGAGGGTACGGTTACTGGTCGGCCCTGTGTTTGGGTGTGGGTGTGGGTTCATATGGTGAGGAGAGATGAGTGATAGGGGTAGCGGCGTAACATTAAGATATTTACACTTGCCTGCTCGTACAGCTAAAACAAAAAATAAATAAAAATAAAATATAGCAGAGGTTATAAACAATGTCGCAGTTATGAAATATATTTTTCTTTTATTCTAAGAAATAAAATCTTTTAAATATAAAAAAACACGTTTTTCTGTCTTTAATTTTATAGCATTACAAAATATTTTTTTTATTTTTGCTTTCGGATGAAAAGTTTTGCGAAAATATAGCAGAAAGTTTGTGAAGAAGGTAGCTAAAGATAGATGGACTTATTTGGTGCTGGGTCCACTGACTTGTTGTAGTAGGGTATGGAATGGTGGTACCAAAATTGGTAAGCGTCGGAAAGGTGATATTGCTGCTGCAGCAGATAATTTGAAGTGGAAGATGAACGTCTCTTGTATTCTTCAGATGGTAACACACAGAGTATTGCACTTTTCACAGTCGAAATCAATGAGAATGATATGATGGTCACTTGGAGATTAAACGACATTTTCTATCTGCCTTTATGGCGATTCGAAAAAATTCAAAATACGTAAAGATTTTCAGCTTTACGTTTATTTTTATCTTCATTTTCTTCTCGTATGAAAGAAGAAAATATATTGAGATCTTCACTAAAATCTGAAGAAAAACAAACTTAAAACCGTATTTTTATAAAAAAAATAAATAAATAAAAATAAAATGGCAGTTAAACAGACGTTAACAGCCGCCATTTCCTGGTTAATTCAAATGGGATTGGAACATTGAATAATGTTACATCTTTGAGTGGGTGTAAATAGAAACAAACCTAAAGACGAATTAAGTTTTATTTTCTGCTTCGTCTTTATTATATTTAGTTTCTGTTAATTAAAAATAAGTGGACATCGAATTTAAATGGTCTCTCTGCACGATTATACATAGATGAATGTTAAGTTGGTTTTAGTTTTACAAACTACAATAATATTACTATGAGATTAATTTTATATAAATATTCATGGAGCAGGTATTAATAGGTTACATGGTACATGCAAGAGAAAAATCCTTGACCTAACTGCTTTCTTATGATGAAATAGTTCATGTAGTACCATTTCGGGTCCATCATGGCATCTCCAGACAAAAGGAACCAAAATGAAATTGCATATATATTCTCGAATTAACATGGCAAACTTCACTGAGTTACATGGTATCATTAAGGAGAAATCTTTCATCAGAATTGGCGATACACAATCGTAAACAAAAAGCTCTACCACAACAAAAACGATATCATTTGAAAACTTCTAACAGCAGCCATAACTAAAATGCATAGCACATGTAAATCGGTGTGAAAATAATGATATAATCAAGGTGTTGACTTTCCACATGACCAAAAATAAAAGGTTTGGAAGGAAACTCCCATCAGTACTAGAAAGATCGATAACAATTAGTGAACTTATAAAGTGTCATTTCCCGAAAAACAGTTTTAAGAAAAAGATTTTATAAATTTCAACTGACAATAAGTTTAAACCTATTCGATTAATGGAGGCTGAATGTTTCCTGTGTAAATACAGTTACTTCCATTATTAACATTCAGTCATTCTTGATACACACTTGGGCGATCATGTCTCTTTCGATTCATGACATGTTCCTCGAATGCGCACTCTCTGCATAATTCTAAAAAGATTTACATCGACAAAAAACTTTGCTTCGAAGTGATTCATTAATTTCTATTTAATAATTTTTTAATCATCAAAACAACATCTCATTTTTTTTTAGTTGGATTACCTCTTCAGCTAAAAAAGGTTGATCTATATTTTTCAATCTAATAAAGTGGAATTTGCGCAAATCAAACATTTGCCTTTCTGTATCGACACCGTCATATTAACTTACAACGTGAAATTTACCTCCATTCAGTTTACAGATATACATTTCATTTACATAGAGAAAAATTCTTTTCTCGTATGAATGCCAAGAAATTAAAAATATTTAATATGTACTGTGAAAAATATGGTGCCTGTTCAGAAAATATTTTATTTATGCATGCCTTTCTTTAATCCCCCAACGGTTTTTATATAGAACTTACTAAAGAAATAGTGACACATGGTCTGAAGATCGCTCGAAGCGTGAGACTGACAGTCACCATATATTTTTAATTCCTGTGTCCACACTGTTAATATTTATAAACGCTTTATGGCTAATAATGAGCTGTTTCCCATAAATATAGGAAATTATATATATATAAAGAAATATAGTTTTAAGGTGTGCTATATTTATGGGATAAAGTGCTCAATATCAGAGATAGAGCGTATGTAAATATAAATATAAAAGTGAACATTGAAGTGAACATTAAAGTCAACACTCAGAGGCCCTCTGAGTGTTGACTTCAATGTTCACGATGGATAAATAGCTGCCATTTTACATTTTTAATTTCGCGCATGCGCGTTATTTTTATTTTATTTTGTCGCCTGCACAGTACAGTGGGGGTCAGTTGGGCACCGTGTATGAGAAAAAAAGCACCATGACACAAAAATTTAAAAACAAAATGCTGTCTGCTTGGCATTCGCGTCGGAAGCTCCAATGCATATATTTCAGAATGTTTGGATGTCAATCTGAGGACAGTGCAGAGGTTTTGGAAAGAGTTTGACGAGTTTAATGGTGATTACAAAGGTACAGTAGCTCAGAAAACTCACTGATTGTTTTGATAAGAAAAGAACTCCCAAATTTGTTGGGGGGGGGGCTCAGACTCAAGATGGAGGCCTACATCAAGTGCCTTGAGGAGGTAGTGCTGCCCTGGATCAGGAGAGTGGCTACTGAAAGAGCCTATGCCTGGCAACAGGACTCTACACTATGCCACACAAGCAGGAGGACCCAGTCATAGCGACCACATGACCCCTTACATCTAGTCACCTAACTCCCTAGACAGCAACACCCTTGATTATTATGTGTGGGGCGCAGTTAAACGAGAGACCAAGCAAAACTTTCAAAGATGAAATGAAGGCAATGATTATGGCAGCATTCACAACTTAAACAAGGAGGCCGTCCAAAAGGGTTTCAGCAGTTTCTGAAGTCGTCTAGCGACCCTGATTGAAGCCAGTGCCATTTTTATTGAATAAATTTGCTCTTTAGTATTTCAAGATATTTTTGTGTAATTTTGGTAAATATATTTGTTAAAATATGATGTCAATGTGTGTGTGTGTATATATATATATATATATATATATATATATATATATATATGTATGTATGTATATATAAAGAAAGAACAGTAAGATCCAGACGACATGCATTCAACGGATGTCAGATTTCATTGAAAAATACATCCCTACTCCTTACCAAAACGTAACTAAAAAACGAATACAATAATACAGACACAATGAACACGCTGACACCCCTTGTCTAGTTGAAGTGGATTTATCTGTAACCCTGGAAACGTGAATTATGATTTTAGCTGTGTCTTTAAAACCCAGTAATTTTAAAAAATACTCCAAAATTCGCTTGAGGATGAAATGGAACTAATATCTTTAATTTAATTACAAAATTAAATTTGTAGCTTTTAGCTTCCATTTTTGAAACATGGTTAGAACTGTGTAGCGAAAAAACCATATCTTAAATAAATCAATTTATAATATATATATATATATATATATATATGTATGTATGTATGTGTGTGTGTGTATGTGTATGTATGTATGTATGTATCATCCATCTTAATCATCCATCATCAGTCAGTATTATATCCACTTTTATTAATTTCTGAGAATTCATTTATTAAATTAAATAGAAATAAATAATAAAGAAATCAACGAAAACAGAAATACCATGTAACAAGGGAAACTTTCCAGTAAAGATTTGTAGTTTGTTGGTCCACTTCACTGTAATTTATAAAGGCTGCATATTTCTATTGATTTTGGTGCCTTTCAGAAAGTATTTTGGCTTGAATGAAAACTTTTTTAACAGTAGATTTGTCATCAATTCCATTAGTACAAATAGTTTCGTAGATGTCTAAGAATTACCACGTGGATATGATGTCTACTAATAGCCGAATCTGGAAGAGAAGGAATGTTGAATAAATCTAACATTTTAGGTCAGTTTTAAGCATGAGTCTTTTCATCTTTGATTCCCTTCAATAGTAGAGTGAAATTATCTGGCAAACGAATAATAATAATAGTCAACTTGTAAAAATGATCAGCAGTGATGGTAATTTTAAATGTGGATAAAGTCCGCCTGAAAACTAATATCTATCTCAAGATTTTTTCTGGTTGAAACAAACTCTAAAATGTGTGCAATGACGACAGATCATTGATGGATTAAGATTTAACTTTTCCCATAGAGTTAGTCTATGTGAGGAATAGGAATTTTATGAATTAGTTTATAATGACCAGATTTCCGTAAATCAGGATACTAATGGAATATTTCCAATTGAATTAATTCCTTAAACCTAAAAGTCTCATGATAAACATCAGTTTTGGAAGCAAACCTTTAAATCTGGGTTCTAGTCAATGTGTTGCAAAAAAAGACTCATGAAATATTTTAAAAATTAAAAGCCATAAAAAGTGA